TAAGATTTATTTATTTATGCATACAGAACTGGGGTATAAGCCAAAGGTGCAGGGGCGGTGAGAAGATTCACCAGAGACAGAGTAGGGAGCAGAACAGGCAGATGGAGGAAGTACACTGGTAAGGGAGCAGCGGGCAGGTCAGGAGAGGTCTGCTGTGCCACGTGGGTCATTTCTAGGCTTGAAGATTCAACTCGCACCGAAGTGCTGCAAACAACTTTCAGTGCTGCGTTCTAACCCGTTGCACCACGAGGGAGGGCGGTAGCCAGGATGTTTAACATTCTACTTATCTACTTATCCACTTATCCTCCCGTATATATTGACACTTATTATTTATTTTTTTCAGAACTAGATATTTGGAGTAGGATTTTCACCAAAGAACCATCATAGATTTACAAAGTAAATTTTAATATTATGTTCACTTTATCACTAAAGAAAGAGTTATAGCAAAGTTAATAGCTTGTCCAATGTCACAAAGCAATACTAGTATGAAATTAGGAAATCTGACTCCAGAAGCTGAGTTCCTGTTCTACCATGCAATATATTTCATAAATCATCTAAATTAATTTACCAGTGCTCGGCTTCATGTTAGATGTATTCGAAATGCTTTCCAAATATGATGTTTGTGTATTCTATAAGAATAAGGTATTGGCTTGTGCAGTTTTAAATGAAGTAGATGACAGTGAAATAACAAGCACAAATAAGAATATGACTAAGGTTATAGCACTATCACTGTTTAACTTCACTTGCCTGTAAAGTTTATAATACTTGAATATCAAGCACCACATGCATTACTCCATCTCACTGTCATTTGCTCGGAAATTCTCATCCCGATTTGACTCTGGGCTAAAAAAAAAAAGTAGGAAGATGTCTCACAAAAAAAAAAAAAAAAAAGGAAAGGTGTCTTTCCCAGTGGCGCAATGGGTTAGGATGCAGCACTGCAGCTAGCTGTTGTCACCTCAATGAGAGTTTGATCCCTGGTCCTGGAGGTGACCCACATGGCACAGCAGACCTCTTCTGTCTTGTCTGCTGCTTCCCTCAGCAGGACCTGTTCTTCTCCCCACTCTGAGTTTGGTGAATCCTCTCACCACCCTGGGGCCACTGGGCTGCAGCCCAGTTCTGTATGCATAAATAAATATATCTTAACAAAAGGAAAAAGAAAAGAAGGAAAGGAATATTAAGCACTGGCAAATACTAGTGATTTCTGTGAAACTTCACCACTAATAGAATAAATGTGCCACATTTCTTCCAATTTACTTGATGGATTAAATGTTTTTAGTATGAGTGGTCCACGTAGTAAATACACAAATACCAGTCCATATTAATCTTGAAAAGTACCTGTTTAAAAGTGAAGAAATGCTTAAGAAAAAGAAGTAGATTGAGCTTTGATTTTTTTTTTTTCACTTCTTAAGGTGACTTTCTATGCCATGTCACTATAAGTAATGGCACTAATTGAATTTATTTTGTCATTTCTTTTTTTGACATTACGAATTAATTAATTTTATTCACAATTATCTTACAATATAGCAGCTTTTATTACGCCCTATTAGTATATGAAGATATGATAAATTGGATAATTTGTTTGAATACATGTTGATAACATTTTAAAAAAGAAGTTAATTTTATCAGTGTACCTTGAAACCTTCAGCAAGATGATTTTAAAGACTTTGCAGGAAAAAATATAATTTTGAAAGGACACCTTTTATGAGACTGACACAAAGCATCTATCTTAAATGTATATTTCATGTAACATTATTTCAATCTGCAAGAGTAAGTTCATTAAACTACATTTGACTGATATCAAAGGTAAGAAGTATGGGCTTCAAATTCAGCTGTGTGTAACTTAAGTGTTTAAAAAGTGATAGGGTGATTGATCATTACAAACACATTAAAAATAATTTTCCCATGGAAGTATTTGAAAGAGTTAAATGTGGGAGTGAAAGTGTGACCTGATTGATACATATTTTTTTTCATCTTTTCAACTTACAATTTGTCTTTTTAAATCATGTTTCACAATATTTTATATTAATTTTTCTTAGTAAATTGAGGAACTTAGTAAATAACTAAAAGAGACATTAGGTAATACACAAAATAGCAGAATTCATATACAATTAGAGAGAGAAAACAGTGATTCTTCACAAAGACTATTCCAAATTGCCTTACTCCAGAAGAAATGACATATGTATTATAAAGCTAATAATGAAGATGTTCTCTTTACAGTGCTTATTGATTAACTTTTGAAAGTAGTGTTATGAAGCCAAGTGACAATTCAAGAAGTATTTTAACATGTAAAAGTAAAAAGATATTATTTTATATTAAAATGTACAGTAAGATGAATGAACTTGCTTTTATATATTAATCTCAATATCAGCTGTTTGCTTTAAAGTACTGTTGAAAAATAATAAACTACAGGTTTCTCATTATAATTTATTGTATATTTGTACCATTATATATATTGTAGATTCCTGTGTTTATTTTCACTGCATCTGAGAAATCGATGATATGATCCAATATATTTCATTCATCATGTAGAAGAGAGTGGAGACAAATTTGTCAGTATTTGGTTTGCTTTAAACATTCCCTTTGTCCCTCTTCTCCCCTCACAAAACAGGGACATTATTTAATACTTAAGTAGACTAAGTATTAACTTCTGTATTTTCTACAGTATACAACCAAAGCGTCATTCATTCCCCCGACCCCTAAAATGTAATCAAAACATTTGTTTCAAATTAAATATTTGTGAAACCTTTAATACTCATTCTAGATAAACTATGAATAGGTATATGTGGATCAATGTTTATGCTGAATTACTTTTCATATCTTACTATAAGAGAAAATTTATAAAGCGTATTTATACAGAAAATAAAGTACTCAATATTTCTTTTTTTTAATTAATTAGGTAATTCTAAATTAAAGAATTTGATATTTTGGTTTGATTGATTTTATTCTATTAAAATAATGTCAGAAATATAAGGCTTGCCTTAGGCCACATGTTTTTTTGATCATGTTTTTAAATTTAGCTTGTTTCCCCTATAGCATCATGTAGAATACCCAAAATATCATGCCAATTAAACACAGCAAAAATTAATAAATTTCTATATCATAATTTTTGACCTGATAGGAGGTTCAGGTGCCCTGTTGCTTTTAACATGTGCATTTACTCCCTATAAAAACACAAGTGAAACAAGGTTTCAAAAACAACCCATAGTACAATCTTATGCCTATGCCTCTGAGTTCATCTTAAGGAAGATATTTTGTAGTAGTTTGATTCTTCTTAATAAAGTGATCCTCTGAAAGTTTGAGTTTTTATCAAGGACTCTTTTATAGATTTCAAAGCACATCACTTTTAATTCAGGTTAAATGTACGAGATAGTTTTTGTATATTTTCCATTAGTGAATGTAATTACATTTTGTTACGGGTTAGAAAAAGTTAAAGTAGATTACCCTCCACATTAAAATATTAACTTCCCCTGAATCTAAAAAAAAAAAAAAAGATACTTATTTAAAAAATAGTTTAGTTTTCAAGACCACTGTATATATTACTTTAATTTACTAAAATTATACTATATAATTTGCTTTTTTGTGATAGTTTACAAGTAATCCACAGGTTACATTTGTGATTCTTACACATTTACTAAGCAGGTGAGGTTGTTCTGTCACTGTAGTGTGGCCAAAGAAAGTAAGATACATTTTTTTAACAATGATATCACTGACTTCAAATACATCCCCACAACAAAGAAAATTATCTACTTTGCAAGATAATGACAAAAAAAACAAACATGAAAAGAAACCTGCAAAAAGTCATTTTTAACATATATAGGAAACAATTCCCAAAATGCCAGGGCTCTGACTTTAAAATTAAATTTCAAAACCTTTCCTAACTAATTCGGTATGTACTCTTTAAGAATTCAAGGAATTTCAATAGAATAGGAACACTTCATGTTACTACTTATAAGCTAGGAAAACATTAAGGAATCATTTTATTTGGTTACAAGAATTTTTATTTTGTAAACTATACATAAACAGTAAAAAAGAAAATGCATTATACTTTAAATATTACATAAAGTCAACAGTCAAGATTCTTTTTTAGTGTATACAAATAAAATGGAAAGTATCCACCAATTTTACTTTCAATGAATTGCATGTTGGGAATCCAATTGACCCACTGTTTAAACAAAGATACCAATGTGTAACATTCAACAGGTTTTTCCATTTTTATTATGGGCACAAAACCATAGGTCTGATATACTTAAAATGATGATGTGCCAAAAAGTCTACTCAAGTAATTAACATGCTAACTTAAGTACAGCAATTAAAATAATTTTTGTTACAGTTAAATTTTAATGCTACTCTACACAATAATCATAAACAAGTCCACATGGCAATTATGTAACTATAGAAAAAAAATAAACATATTCCATTTTCTTCATTCCAGCAGCAGTACCTTTACTGGCATTAATTTTTTAATTAGATGTGCTTATATATTGCCTAATATCCTATATTGGTATGCATGCTAAGTCTTTCTATCTCTATTTTGCAAGGCACCATACAATACGTTCTCTAAGTTTTCACACTAGTAACAAAAATGGTATAATTCTAAGAGAGAATGCAAATTTTTATCTAAAATAGAAAATAAGATACGATTTTTAAATTTAACATTGGGGCACATAACAAACTTTTTCCTGAAAATATGATTTAAATGAGTCTTTCCCTTTACTTTCTTACTTTAAATTCTGTACCCTAAGTTGCTGGTCAGAAAGATAAACCTAGGAAGGAAAAGAAATGATGCACTTTAAAAATAAAAAAATCTACATGAGACTCACATCCAAATTAAAATAAAAATTAGAAAGTACAATTAAGAATTTAACTTTCAGAATCCATGGTTTTCCATATGGCCATTTTGTAGCATATCCTATCATACCCAGAATAATCCCATATTAAGAACATCACTATCAATGTAAACACAATAAAGGATTCTACAACTGTCATTTCTTTTTCTTTACCCTGTGGTATCCCTCACTCATCTTGAACTCATTCCAGGTTTGAGGCAATATGACTTTAGAATTGTAATTAAGATCATGCATAATTTTGTAAAACCCTTGGGGCCCACCAGGTCACTAAGAAGTTATAAATTTAACTTAGACTATATCACAGAAAAATAACACATATGAGTCAAGCACTGGTTGTTTTGTTTGTGGAATATTAATGTAAGTTTGTTCTTATGAAAATCTGTTTATTTCCATAGCTTTTCATAACTTTCTTTAATCTGACTAGAACTCCATATGCTTTCTTTTTCCATAAGGCATATAAAAACTCAAAGTAAAATGATTGTTATTTTAACATAAAGGTCTATGACTTTAGCTGCAATATTTGTATTAATTATACAAAATATATGTGAACTTTAGAATCATTTTGTATTTGGACCAGAGGTTAATTGTCAATAGGCTATTACTTTGTAAATAATAGAAATGTCGAATTTATTGATCTCAGCTCTCATCAATCAAATGTATCCATCATGGTCATCACCATCATCATCATCATCCCCTTCATCTTCATCATCATCTTCAATTTCATCTTCATCATTCATAATATCATCTTCATTATCCTCATCATCAGTCCACTCATGGAAATCTCCACTCGCAAAGTCCCCAGAGATCTCAAAATCAATAGCTTGGGATAAAAAATAAATATTACTATTATTTTATGAAACCGTAGGATAATTTGAGGGCAATAAAATTCTGATAAATATTGATAAATTTTGTAAAATTTATTTGCCCTTTGGTTTATTTACCAAAATAAGGACAAATTAATTCCCTATCATTTTTTGATATTTAAGTGCTAGGAAGAAGACTCATAACAGATTCAATATACCAGATTTCCATTCATTAATATTAATTTTAGCCCAGTTTTTAATAGAAGATCATGTCAAACTTTGAGTTCTACTTAAAGAACTTTAAAAATGTCTTCTAAGATTTTGACTGGGGAAACCATTACCCTCCAAAGAATGTCACTTCCTAATCAATGAATCATGTGAATATGTCACCTTGCAAGGTAAAAATGACTTTGCAGAAATGATTAAATGAAAGACCTTGAGATGGGGAGATTATACTGGATTATCTGGATAGCCCCAGATGAACACCATCAAAGAAACATTAATTGAAAGAATCAGAGGGAAGTGAGACTACAGAAGAATGGTTAGAAAGGTATAGTGTTTCCAACTTTGAAGTTTGAGAAGGGGTCTGTTAGCTAAGTGGCATCTGTAATAAAACATCTCCATAGTACAAACTATGCTTACACCCTGACAATTATTTTATGAAACAAACATGCTACAGTAGAACTTTAAATTTCATGTATCTGCTGGTCAAATTAATTTTAATATTTTAAGATGTATTTAATATTTAAAATATTGTCATATTTTAAGATATATATGTGTATATACACACACATTAATATGTAAGTTCAAAAAAGTCAGAATATTAATTATAATTATCTTTCAAATAAGCTATATTTTTACTTTCAAAAAAAAATGTAACTGGCTAAATTAGCTGTCATTTATGGACCTTCACTTCTTTGGGTGGCAAGACTTCAGACTCCTTGAATTAATAATCTAGAGGTGGACACATATGTTACCATAGGGTGAGAGAACACACAGGGGGGTTAGCCTTGGACTAGAATAGGTAACAAAGGTCTGCCTGAACTCAAAGTAAAGCAGGAGCATGGGTCATCCTTTCTAAATCTGAAGGAAGAGAGGACCCTTCTCTCAATTACACTTCTTTAAAATAACTAAATTATACAAGTGTACTTTATTTTTATATGAACTTTTAATATGAGTGAGTCTTTCATCAGCCTTCAGTGGATTCTCAACCATTGCATAGAGCAGTCCTCATTAGTGCTTGAACAAGTGATAATGATCACTAACTACTCAAAGACATGTCTGAGAATTGAAGTAACTCTGCTCCTTACCACAGTCTGCAACTCCATTTGTTCTGGATCCCATGACTTCATTGCCAAATCTGTCAACACACCAGCACTGCCCGACACGGCCGTGGCATTGTGTTGGCTTATAGTAACCATCTTCATCACAGAGGGGGATGTACTGTCCTGTGAGACAAGACGCACATGCATGAATGATTTGTTCTCTTTTTTTATGGCCATGACAATTGCATTATTTCACTCAAAGCACACACATGTGCAGTACCCACTCGAGCTATGTACTCATGGGGTTCATAGTGCAGAGCAGGTAAATGAAAGCTGTCGCAGAGCTGGATACTCTCGTGATCATCTGTCCACATTTTTTTTGACTAGCAAAGTTACCTTTTTATTTCTCACTTAGCACAGAGTCCCGTTTCTGAGGCATAATAGACTTAGAATTTGACTCATGTCATGCACTTCAACCAGGCCTGCCAGGCACTCCACTGTCTCCCCACTCCCCACTTTCTATTTTCACTTCCCAAAGTTTCAGCTCACATACTCCAATCTTTTCCACATTGAATTAACTGTTTCTTCTAGATGAAATGCTGTTTCACCTCCTTACATAGCCTTTATCTCACATGCAATTCCATTTTAAGACTTGATTTAAATGTAAATTTTTAATATAGGACTTTTTCAAGATGGAAGATTTCTGCTATACTTCTGCCAGTATGTGTTTGTGTGTCTGTGGGTGATGTAGTGTTGTGTGTGTGTGTGAGATGGGTGGGTGTAGTCTGTTCTTGCATATTTTCATCTCTCCATTGTAACATCCTGTAATGGGGAATTTTCGATTCTCACTTCTTTGATTGCTGTATCAGCATTTTAAATTCCCAGTCTAGTGGATAAGATGGATATGTTGATATCTACAATACTTACATATTATCTGGCACAATGCTAATAATAATTGTTTCATTAATAATTTAGAAGTGAATTCACATTCTTCAGTAAGAACTCTAATACTAGAATGAAAGCTCTAGGAAATCAGAAAAATTTCATTGGCTTGACTCTTTTTTTAATGACCAGACACTATAGCTATTTGGTTAAAAAAAAGGACTGAATAGAAAGAATGAGACTCTTTCATCTAATATTATAACAATATGAGGTTATAATTTTACTCCTTCGAAAGCTTAAATATTCTTAAAGATGTACAGTGTAGTTTAAAACTATAATCGTGACCCTCCCTGGTGGTGCAATGGGTTAGGACGCAGCACTGCAAGCTGCCTCAGTGTGAGTTCGAATCCCCTCCTCGGAGGTGATCCACACGGTGAAGCAGACCTCTCCTGACTTGCCCATTGGTCCCCTCAGCAGTGTAGCACGTTGACCTGCCTGTTCTGCTCTCCACTCTGTTTCTGATGAATCCTGTCACTGCCCCTGCACCTCTGGTCTGTACCCCAGTTCTGTATGCACAAATAAATAAATCATTAAATAAATAAATAAAACTATAATTAATTTGTAATATTTGGGCTAGTTGTTTTTCAATGAGGTAGACAGAATAGCACCCATAAGAAAAACTCAAGGACACCTTCATATTTAAAGCCATCAAAGTGTGGCAAATATTCACCTTTCTTATAACTATCTCTTAAAACATCTACCCTGGCATGGCACACTTGACATAACATTTTATAATGTACAATCAGTGTGCTCATTTAGTACATCCTTCAAATTGCATACAAGTGCAATTTGAAAGTGAAAAGGCATTAAAAATTATGCTATAACCAAAGACATCAGCCCAGACTGAACCTGCAAACAGGAACCTATTACATCAGACTCCTCTATAACAACTGGGACATTTTCAGGGAAGTGTCCTCCTATTCAACACAGAGGAAATGCTGCATACCCAGTGCTCTCTAATTATGACTTTATATTATATCAGAATAATAAAAGTGACTGCTTGCAAATGGACACTAAAGGTATTTTCAATCTTTGTGAACTCACATAAGTGCAGCTTGAATTTTAGTAGGTCTCCCTTACTACAATAGGCCTTGAGGTCATTAGTGTTGGGTATGGTGAGGTGATGAGGTGGTGTGGTTCTATGCCTCTGAGTCACACACATTGTTGTAAACCATAATTACCTCCAGGAAAAAAAAAAAGCAAAATATATTTCAATTAAATCTTACTGGCATTTCCATTTCCCAGGACTAAACTTTGATTTGTGGAAAAAAATGCATGCATGAATATATTATTTCCAATTGTGAGATGCAATAAGGCATGCGTCCTGAGAGTTAAGAGAAATAAAACACATCGTAGCTTTTGTCATTAATAATGCTTCACTCTAAATAATGATTTATTTTTAAAAAATTGGTCTTAATTTTGAACTATGGAGTTTGAATGTGAAAAATTGTCTAATCTGACATACAATATTATAATTGTGAAGATAGCACATTAAACTATATAATAAGAGTAAAAAATCCAGAAATATTATAAAACTATGTACCTTGAAATATATAAGGGCATTAGCATATATGGAAATACACTGCATATATGTGATATACTTCATTGAATCCTAAAATATGGACCCAAATAGAAAGACTGGTGAAATCTAAGAAAGTCTGAGTCTCAATTCATAGGTTTATAGTGGTCCTATAGCTTTGATTTAACAAATATACAAGATATTTGATACAAAGTATAATGTAAACTTTAGGAGAGGCTGGGTAAAGGATATATGGAAACTATATTTGTAAAATTTTGAAGTGAAAATTATTCCAAATAGCTCATCTACAAATTCTGTTTATAAGAACAGACAAAATAAGCACCCATTATGGTTAAATTGTTTCTTGATAGCTAAACATTCTAATATTTCAAAATGTGGATTAAAGTCTGAAACTGTCCATGTTATCATTTATCTAAGGCATTCATTGTTTATATCAAACACTAAACTGTTTAAACAATTTCCTTGAGGAGATGGTGTCTCTCTCCCCCCATCCCACACACATGAAAACACACATATAATCAATTTGTGAATCGTTAATCATAGATTTGGAACTGAATTTCTGCTGATGCTTTAACTTTAGTATTGTTGAAATCTCTTTTTTACTTAATAACTTTCAAGATGAACATTATATTAGGGTAATAAAATAGACATAATATCTTTCAATAGGTAAGATAATAAAAGTAAGTTTAACGGCTTTCAAAACTTCATAAATTTTGTTGCTGAAATTTAGCGTAGTCTATCTTTGTTGGATTAATATTGATTTTATGTTGCTGTTTCCCTGGGGTTATTTATGTAAGCAATAAAGGCTTCAGAAGAATGATGTATTACTCACCCAGGAGCTTCTTTGCCCCTTGCCGCTTGTGAATCCTGCTGAGCTCTGTCTGGCAAGGTGGGTCTGCAATGACATTAAAATGTTACTTCAAGGATTATAGTTAAATAAAGAAAGTGTAATAGCTGTGCTACTATACTTCAGCTAATTTCACATGACTTTACAAGGGGGCATAAATCACCTATTAGTTGGTCTACTTATGGAGATGCATATATACGATAAAGGGATGCTTTCCTAATAATTATTCACAAATTATCATGATTTTCTTCAGAATGAACTGGATGAAAAAAGAGAATGGTATAAAGTCTATATAGGAAATACTTCTTATCATTTACTTTTAAGAGTTCAATCAATTCAGCAATGTAAATCTGCAAAATCAACTGATTGTTTTCCCTTCATTTAAAATTTCCTATGATACAGAGAAATAACTCACATTAAAAAAGTAATCTGGGCCCTCCCTGATGGTGCGGCAGGTTAAAGCACAGCACTAAGAAGCTAAAGCCACTTCTGCATGAATTCGATCCCAGCCCCGGAGGTGACCACATGGCCCAGCAGACCTCCCTGACCCGCGCACTGCTTGCCTCAGCAGTGAACTTCCTCAGTCTGCCTGTTCTGCTCCCCTTTCTGTCTTTGGTGAATCCTCTCACCGTCCCTGCACCTCTGGCCTGTACCCCAGCTCTGTGTGAATAAATAAATAAATATTAAAAAAAAAAAAGTAATCTATGGAGCCCTCCCTGATGGTGCAATGGTTAAAGCGCAGCACTACAAATAAGCTGTAGCCTCTTCAGAGTTCGATCTCTGCCCCTGATGTGACCCACATGGTGCAAGGCAGACATCTCCTGACCCGCCCGCTGCTCCCCTCAGCAGTGTACTTCTTCCATTTGCCTATTCTGCTCCCCACTCTGTCTTTGGTGAATCCTCTCACCACCCCTGCACCTCTGGCCTGCACCCCAGTTCTGTATACATAAATAAAGCTTTAAAAAAAAGTAATCAATGAAAAGTTTAATACTTTTTCCACATTATGTTACAGACACTATTATAAATTTTATGCTGAATAATGTTCACTGGCTTTGTAGTTTCACACAAATTCTTCAATTGTATACATCTATATATATATAACTTGAAAATAGAACCACATATATGATAGTTTCTGATAAAGCATCTTAAAAATATATTAAAAACATTAAGCCAATTGGAAATAAGCATTTGTTTTTCAAGCAGTTTAAAGAAGAGCATTTCCAGAATTGTACCATTCTAAATAAACATAATATAGTTTGGCTTATCTTACTACTATTTATATTCTTATATAAAATACACACATAATCATAAATATTTTGCATTCTCATTTGAAAACTTTAGTTTATCTTTATATTATTTACTTTAACAGGCTTTAATATATTTAAAAATATTACCTTTAAAAATCTTAGCTTTTAAATGTTTGAATTGATTTTGCTATGTAAATATATCATGTGCTATTGAACAGCAAAATAATGAACTGTTAACCTATTTTCCAAGATTTTTGGGAAAATCAAGATAAAATTTATTCAAATAATTTGAAAGTACGTTAGTAAACCAATCTCATGCTTTTCAATAATCAAATTTTCATGTAACTAAAAAAGTATAATAAGGAAATGAGGCAAAATGTTTAAATATTTTTGTATTTATGTTTAATATCTAAAACCTATTTTAGATTTCATGAGTTCCTTGATCAGTCTAAAATAAAAAGAAAATATAACTTGTTAAAGAGCCTCAATAATTATTGAAATGGGTCCAATTAATCCCTTTGGTCTTCCTTATATTCTTGCTAGCCTCTTATATTGAAATTAAAGGAATAGATATCACGTTGCATCACATCAGCTTATAAAATAGACATTTTAAAATCTGCTGGGCTCCAAGTATGACATGAGAATTCAAAGGAAAGATTCCAGATGAGTTCAATACAATGGCGAAGACAATTCTTCAAATTGCTAAGTGTCAGTAATTGTAGCAGCAATACGTTCATGAATGAAACTCCTGAAAATCCAAATACTTTTAATTTGGGTCTTGATTAGTGTCATCACTGAATACATCTTAGGTACCAATCCTATCAGCTCTGTATAGAGGACTGTTTAAAGATTAGGAGGGAAATCATTAAAAAGATTAGGCTATTACCACATATTTTATTACAAAAATTTTTTTTTCCTATTTCATATCAGGCAGCGTTATTGACCTTAATTTCAGGTATCTTTGGGGTGCTTCATTAAGATATCATATCAATTGCAAAGAGATGATCTAAATGAAAGAATGGTAACTTAATTAATTGCATGAATGTTTGGATATAATTAGATTATGAATATTTCTGAGGATATAAATACAGATTTATTGTGTCTAACCCACTTCCTACATAAGTGTGTTTTAACTTTTTAGGAAACATGCTTTACGTGACTTTATTCATGATTGTATAAGAATCATGAATCAATAATAAATGTAAGATTTAATTTTTCACAGAATTTACAAGTAAGTTTCCTAAATATTAAACTAGAAAATCCAGCAAAAGAGAAGAATGAAAAATTTTTACTAATTAAATTAAAAAATGTTTTTTTTTTTTAATGTAGTCTTTTTCACTGTTTCTCATTCTGGATTTAAAAAGTCACACCACAAATATTTGTGCTATTGACATATATTAAATTTATGATTTTCAATACAGTGATACTAATGTATTTTTATTTTTTTACACAATTTAGAACTAATCAAATGTCATTGGGAAAAATTTATAAATAAATATCTCTAAGTTCCTAAGTTACAAGCATACAAATGTGCTTTTTCTATATTTGTATTAGTCAATGTAAGGTATACATTTATTAATCCTCAAATATACATATAGTCAATAAAGAGTCAAAACTAAAAAGAAAGTAGACATTATAGAAGTTTGTGAATGAATCTCTAAATTGGCAGTTTACAGTAGCCGACGCAGTGGACTGAACAACTCCTTTGAGACATCACCCACCCCTTTTCTATGAAGGGTGCCCTGTAGCAGGTAAGTCCTCCTACTTTCTTGCAGTAAGCCACCTCCCTTATTTCCCTTTCTTCTCAATACTTATTAGTCATTATAGTCATTTGCAGAATGGATACACCTGAATTTTTCTGCCATGGAAAATTCTAACAATACCAAAGAACAAAATTCTCCATGTTTAATAACTTTCAATACATAGGAGAAATATGTTTTTCATAATTAATACATGTGACCCAGACTTTGATATTCTTCTTGCAGATTAAATGTACAAGAAATGTTTAAAAATGCCACCTACCTTTATTGTAGTTCTTAACGAAAAATGATTGGATATCGTATTGACTAAATAAAACTCGTTGATGTTACTGGTACTGAATAGAATTAGATAACAAGATGCAAGTGATGTTTCTTTAGCATTTTATATAGAATTTTCTTGTAAATTCCTAAAATATTAGAACTACTTGGAGGCAGATCAAGGAAATTAGTTTCAAACCACCTCCCATATTCATTCTGAAATGCGAAGTCTTATTGTGGGAGCAATATTTTCACAGGCCTATTTGAGTGATAAATTATTTTAGGTATTTGGTCTTCCTAGATGGACGTGAAGAAATGTTTTCATTCTATTCCCATATAATCACATAAGAGGACTTTAAATGAAATAGCATTTAAGTGGATTTTTTTAAGTGGAGACATAAAATATACTTTTATGAACATAAGTCATTAATACCTAAGGTAAATGAAAACCCAATTTAATATCTCTCCAACTCACTTTTTCATATTTACTTAAAATAAGAGTTATACACTGCACAATAATAACCATTTTATATTGCTAAGTTGGGATTAGTTTTTCAGATATTTTCCAGCATTACAATCTTGATTGCTGGAAATTTGATCAACCTGGATTAATAAATGAATAACTCCCCACTCTACAGTATTCTCTCTCCTCTTTCTATTTCTCTCTATATAGTTACTCTAATATACTTCACATTACTTTTAAAAAAGTGAAGTCAAAGATTTGGTGTTGTTTTTTTTAATAAACCAGGAAAAAACAACTTTTTAAAAAAATTTGAAACTTTTAAGAAGTGGTTAATATCTTTTATAAATAAGTTAATGAACTAATTCAAGTCAGTTATTTGTCAGATACATATTAATATAAGGGCATAATTAATGAAATTTGACTATGAGTTTGGATAGTTGCATGAACCTGTTAGCATCTCAGATGTCATTTATAAAATTATTTTATTGTGCATTAAATTATATCAGAGAATAGCATTATTTGACTACAATGATCATAAGTGTTTACAAAAGTATACTTAATATGCATATATTAACATATACACATATGTAAAGACAAAATTTCTTTGGGAACCTTTTATCAATTCTACAAATATAACTGCAAAATCCAGTAATGCTTTAAGACAAAGGTATTTATTTTTTATAGAAGAAACATTTGGAGCTATTCAGAATATTTTTAAATGTTCATGTGTAAACAATCACATTATCATAACAGTTAAAAAGACAAGACGCTTAGATTAGCATTTGACATCGGACTGTCATCATAAAAATCATCATGTCTTCTTATGGTAATTTACTTTCATTTTCTAATCTACATTTTATTTTCCATATGATTTAAATGTATACTCATTAAAAATAGGATGCAGTATTTCAGGGAGATTTAATTATATAGAAAGCACATATAAAGTCAACTCTGTGTGTGTTATTTAAAATACTTTAATAAAATAAATCTAATTTTGAAATTTGCTTAAAATGGATTATAAGTTATACGGTCTCCCACAACCCCTTCTACTCACTCACTGCAGGTCAATTTATGGTAACCATTTCATCCCTAATTCTAAACCATTAGGAATAATTGGCCTTGAACAAAATGTCCTATGTAAAATGTTAGTTTTCAGTATGAAAAACTGGAGCTCGTTTATATTTAAATTAGTTTGTTGCCTCTATTATGTCTAAAGAATTTTAAAATGCAGTGACAAGAGTGGGTTTATCTCATTAGGCTAGTCACAGGTTTGTCTAAATTAGCATCAAAAATACACCTATTATTGCTCCTTCAGCATCTCCCAACTTTCCCTAAATGTGCTTTTGAATCTATTTCCTTTTTGTACTTATTTTTAACTATCATTCATCTGATCATGTGAGCATGACTTCAATTTTACTCTAGGCTCACTTTTCCTAATACAGAAAGATCATAAAGAATTCACATCATGCCAACTCTTCAGATTGGCTCACCTCTCCCAGAAAAGAATCAAGACACTTTCCTGCTAGTGAATATGTATAAATCTAAGTTTATCTTGAAAAGCTTGAAAGACTTAAGTCATTTCAAATCAAATGAATAAAAAATAACTTTCTGGTGAATGCTGTGATTCATTCAGCTCATTTAAGAAGAGCAGAAATTAGAACATTAAAATCCCACAGTATAGTGATAAAAAACCCATTTATTTTGCTCCGTGGGCAAAGCAGATAGCAAATTAATTTTAATGATTCCTTTTAATATCTATGTTCTCATATCTGTCTGTGCTTCTTGGTGGTTCATAATGGAAAGTATAATGAAGCACATTAATATAAAATATTAATTACTATTTTTCATTTGTTTAGCATGTTTTGCATCTCTAGCAAAGTTATATTGTTCAACATGCTGCTTATTTGCTCTTTTATTAAACACTGTAATTAGAAAAACATCTATCAAATGGATGGGATAGAAAGCACTGTTATTTATTTATTTATTTTTTCATCATGAAGGCATAGACAAATTTGACATGCAGGTCAACTATCTGCACTGGGGAATGTCTCATCTTTTACCTTGCTGTTTCTGGAAGCAGTAGCACCATTCATTGTTTGATATCAAACTGTCCTTGTATGTGTCACAAGAATTGAAGAATGCCTGGGTGCACTGTTCATTCTTATCAAGGTAAATGCTTCCGAGCTCTGACTGGTCCAGGAGGAGGTCATAGTTTGTGTCAAGTCTGTTAAACATCCAGCCAAGTGAATCCTTGCAGATTGGCAAAATACTGGTATCAAATCCTATAGGCAAAGACAGAGAATGATTAGTCAAGTATGAAAGTTGTCATCAGCAGAAAGCAAAACAAAGTAACATAAGTCATTCCTGTCGGTGAGAAGTGGAAGATTCAGTTCATTCTGAGTAACTTGTTTAAAGTAAAACAAGGATAATAATGACTACCATTCAGAATAGCTGTGAGAATTAATTAACAAAAATATAAGGCATCTGATACTAATTCGCCATTCTACAGATTTACTCTTGATTAGCTATTTGCTGTTTTCTTTATTAAGTTTCATCTGAATAAATAGGTTGTCATGATTATGTCATACTAGATTATATGTTTTATTGAGTAACAATTTGCTACTAATAATGAGATGAAATCCATTTTCACTCCAAATAATGAAATGCCACTTTTAAAAATGTGTAACTGGCACACAAAAAATAATGACCTTAACAAAGTTCTGTGTCTTGGGAGAACCATGGCGATTGTGATATTTTGAAAGTAACAGCTAGAGAAAGAACATTATCATTATGTGAGTTTTACAGCTGCTGTGTCTTGTTTTCCTCAAGGCAATTTCTACAATGACAAATACGCTATATGAGGGCATCAATTTGCACTAGGTGGGCACAGGTACAAAGAGAAGATGGAAATGGGTTTATATTTAAGCTACATTCTAGCAAAAGATGGGTTACCTGGCCAAGCCACAGACCTTGCTAAGACTCAGTGACCTTAGCCAGTGACTTTACTATATAGCAACAAATGCAATGTCTATGTTTTAAACTATGTTTTAAAATATACTTTGGATTATTTTTCATAATTACACTTGTTTTAACATGTACATTATGCATCCAATTTGTGTTTGATTTGCTATTTTCCCTTTGTTAAAAGTGAAAGGAAAATAACAATTCAGCTGGCATGGTAGAGAGGATGTATTTGGTGACGTGGAAAATTTCTAGAAATCCAAAGCCAAAGGATTTAATTTTCAACAGCAGTCTTTAAAGACTAGACTAGCCTTTATGAGTGGGATTTTCTGTCATATGATGTTAAAATTATATTCTATTTGTTCAGGATCTAGTTAGATAATTTTAGCTTATTATACTTCAGGTTGTAAGAAGAATTGCAAATAAAGGTATGGGTATTGGGATTAAAATATTAGGGCTTTAAAGATACATGAAATCAGAAGTTAAATATTGTATGTACTGTGTCTAGGAGAAGTTTTAGTTTGAGTGTTTCATAATGTCACCCTCTTCCAAAGTTTATTTTATTGATATAATCAAGATCAGATTTAGTGTTTTGTTGTTATTACTAGAAGCCACATATTGCTTGTAATTTGTTTTCTTTAAGTAGCATGATACAGGATTCAGAAATACAGGACCCAACCTATTCAGGTGTATGTTAATTCACCTGGGCTAAGCAATGTGGAAAAGTAAAAAGATGTTTGTGGCACAATCATAAAACCATAGAGAATGCAATTCAGCATGCAATTCAGAATTCAGTTTTCAATGTTTTCTCTGTAAAATTGTTTGTGGCATCAAAATAAAAGTTCTCCCACTCAAATGAACAAATAAATGGCAGACATGATTTTCTCACTCTATATTTACTTTCTGGTTTCCAACTTAGGTTCTGAGAGTACAGGGTTTGGAAATACATATCATGTTTCTGTGTTTTTGGAACTCACTGATTTTTGTTTCAAACAAACACCACTTTCTATGGTGAGGATTATAAGGAGCAAGAGTGGCAAACAGAAGGCTGTCAGGAAGAAACTGACTAGTCCCATAGAGACATTTTCAGGGATTATATGTCTCAGATCTTCACAACTACCTGAGCTCCCTCTGATCACTCTTCAGTCTATCAAACATCAATTTAAAAGTTTACTCCGTCCAGTTTTTAAGGCACACCATGTAGACATTCTTGTCAGTTTCAACACATTTTTCCTTCTTATTTTGTCAATATAATATGAAAGAAAGGTATCCTTGACCTTTCAATAACTTTTGTGTTTTACTTTGTGGAGAACTTATTCTAAAATCCATGCTTCAACATAAAAGAATATTTCTTACACAGAAAATCACTTGCACAGCTAGTTAATAAACTCTACTCAGAACAAAATAATTTACAGCTTACATTTTCTGTTAAAAAAAAAACTACTTAGTAACTGCCTGAATAGTCAATTTGATGAGATGAAATAATATTTTAGATGGACAATATCAATGTATCTATCTTTAATTCAGCTTTCATTGCTGCATTTAGACAACTTGGGCAATTTTCAATCCTACTTGATATAGTACACTGAAGCTACAACTAAAAATAGTATACATATACAGCTATATTATTATATATGGTTACTACATGATAACATAATTGAAAGATGCGTACACATGTCTGTAACGTTAAAAACAAACATCTAGGTTTAGTTGGACATCGGGATTATGTTACCATCACTTAATTCCTGAACCTACTTTATCTTAAAAAATATATCTCCCTGGACCTCCCTGGTGGCACAGCGGGTTAAAGCACAGCACTAAGAAGTTAGAGTCACTTCAGCATGAGTTCTATCCCGACCCAGAGGTGACCACATGGCGCAGCAGACCTCTCCTGCCCCACCAGCTGTCCCCCCCCAACCCCTTCCCCAGCATGCTTCATTGATCTGCCTATTCTGCTCCCCACTCTGTCTCTGGTGAAGCCTCTTACCACCCCTGTACCTCTGGCCTGTACCCCAGTTCTGTATGCAAAAATAAATCTTTTAAAAATATATATCTCCCTTTGCTATGATATGTTATGTTATATTATGTGTAGGTGAACACATAGATTAAGTTGGAAACTCTCCAAAACCCATATTTTAGGGATTTGTATTCATCATGTAAGCATGTTGAATTATTAATTTAATCTTCAGTCTCTTTCTCCTCCCGGAGAATGGAGAGTGGAGTTTAAAGTTCCAATCTTCTTATTCCATTTTGATCTATTGAATAGCCACCATCCTGAAGTCATACAGGGTCTACCAGGAGTTACCTAAATTACAACAAAAGTTGTCCTTCCAATCTAGCAAATTTAGTAATTCTATATAAAATGTTTCTATCACCATCATCATACAAGAAATACAGGGTTTTAGGAGTTCTGTGTCAGGAGTAGGTAGCACAGACCAAGAATACATTTATTGTATCATATATATCTGCACACATATTTTACAATTCCCCCTACAGTACTTTATGTAGAATTTGTCTAATACCATTATCTACTTCATCTGGAACTCCTTTTAATATTTTTGAACTAATTTTGGATTGATGAAAGTCTTTAACTTAATCTATAAAAGATAATGCATAGAAGAAAACTTAATCTATAAAAGATATTGTTCACTAACACACAGACTTTTGGTTTTAATCTTTTTTTTTTTTTTTTTTTTTTTTTTTACTTCTATGTACTTTTTGATGGGGATAGTTTCTATCATCCATCTTCTGGTCATGGATTATTTTTTCAGTAGTACTCAGTGTGGTTTAGGTTCACCCAATCTATTTTTCATCCCATTTATTGTAAATATCATCACTAGCCATCCTATTTGGATATTTTATTCCTTTAGCTATTCTCTTGTAATGGAGGTCCATATTTACTGTTATACTACTTTGCATATTAATATTATTTACAGTCCTGTACCCCCCCATCATCACTGTTAATTCTCAGTATATTTTCAGGATTGCAATTTCTCCCAGTTATGAACCATATTTTTACACTTGTACTTGGTAAATTTTAATTGGATGCAGCACATTGTGAATGCTAAATTATTGGTTGCTAGGTTGTGTTGCATTCTTTCACAGCACCATATTTTATAATGACATGTAGTTAAATACCCTGCACATCAGTTTAACTCTTCTAAGGATGGCTTTTAAGTTTTGTTATGGCAGACAGAGCAGACTTTTACTCTAGGACTAATTTAAACATGAACCAATATGCAGGCTCTTTCCTACAGCCATTCTGCCATTACTTTATCTAGTGACCAGATGAAGGACATTTGAATTGTTGACATGTTGTCATTATAAAATCACTGTAAACATCCACATTTTTAAAAATGATTTATTTATTTATACATACAGAACTAAGGTATAGGTAAGAGGTGCAGGGGGATGAAAGGATTCACCAGAGACAGAGTGGGGAGCAGAACAAACAGATCTATTGAAACACACTGCTGAGGGGAGCAGCAGGCAGGTCAGGAGAGATCTGCCACACCATATGGGTCGCCTCTTTGGCCCTGGGGATCGAACTCATGCTGCAGTAGCTGTGATAGCTTCATAGTGCTGTGCTTTAACCTGTTGTACCACCAGGGAGGGCCAAATATATGATTTTTATATGAACATATGTTCTAATTGCTCTAAGATAAATATCTTGAAATGGAATTTCTGGGTCTTACGGTATTTGTTTCATTAAAACACACACACACACACACATTTTAAAATAGCTAGGCTTTTTTTTTTTTTTAAGTGACTGTGCCACTTTGCATTGTACTAGCCATGCATGACAGATCCAGTTACTCCCATGCTCACCAATACTCGGTATTGTTACTTATGATTGATGGTCATTTCAATAGGTGATTTTGTTTTATATTTCCCTAATGAAGACTGATGTCCAGTTCATTTCTCTATATGTGTTAACTTACACAATCTATCTTCATTTGTGAAGTATCAGATTTTTGACCCATTAATTTTTTAACTGGGTATTGAAAATGAGTATGTTATTTACATTTTCTGAGTTTCTGGATCCAAATCCTTTTTCATATATACTAAGGTCTTATTTTAGTTTGATGTAGTACCAATTGTTTATATTCTCCTTTGTCTTCTCTTGCTATTGGTGACAAATCCACAAAGACTAAGTCATGGAGATTTTGTCTAAGTTGTCTTCTATGCCTTTTGTTATTTTTGGTCTGACATCCAGGTTTTTTATCCATTCTAGTTAAATTTTGTGTATTTGTGAGCCAGTGGTCTAGTTTCATTCTTTTGCATGTGGCTGTCCCATTTTCTGAACATCATTTATTAAAGAGACTTTTAGTTTTGCTATGTATATTCTTGACTACTTTGTCATAAGTTAACTGTCCATTATCTGGGGATTCATTTTTAGGCTTTCAATTCTATTGCATTTGTGTGCATATATTTTTTCTAATACCATACTGTTTTTATTATTATAGCTTTGGAATATAGTTTGAAGTTTGAGAGTAGGATACCACTATTCTTCCTCTACTTTTATCAGAATTACCTTAATGTTTTGGGCTCCTTTCTGGTTCCATGAGTTTTTTTTGAAGACACTATGACTAAATACATACATACACACACACACACACACACACGTACATACACACACACACACATCCTATTGAGTGGGGAAAGATACTTTCATACATATCAAACATCACACAACTCAATGAAAATAAAATGAACAACCCAATCAAAATAAACAGAAGTGCTAAGTAGGCACTTCTCTAAAAAGACATACAGATGGCAAAGAGGCACACTCATGAGAATATTTCACTTATCCTCTAAACAGCCATCTATTTGTTAATGTTTCAAAAAGTTTCCCATGATAATAGTAATTCTATTCAGAATAATATAGTTCCTAAAGATCAGAGACTCACCAAAAAATTTGGTGCCTAAAAATTCCAATTGGATAATTTCTCAGGATGCATTACTATAAGAAAACAATTTTATTATAACATCATTCACTCATGATACTTATTATATAATTATAGTAGTAATCTATATATGATTATACTAATTATTTACATATTGAATATATAATTTCTACAGAATTATAAAACTTACAATTAACAATATTACAGTACATAATAAAATTTATTATAGTTATTTTATACACCTAATAAAAGATGAAAATGCCAGGTGTCTCAATGATTACAACTAATAAAATAAGTAACCATCTCAATCTTTCCTTTCAATACTTGAAATAAGAAAATTTTCTACCAACTTTACAAATATATTATTTTTAAGATTAAGTTCTTTGCTAGACTGGGCTTCTAATTGATTAAAATTGGACATTATTTTTAAGCCATCTCATTCCAAAATCAATCTCTCTCTCAATATGAAGACAGCATGACATAAAGTGAGCAATATCTTAGTAAGGAATTAGAATATATTCATATTCCCTGGGGGGTTAAGTAGTTCTGTCATTTTCTCTGACTGAGGAGAGCTTTTGGTATGGTGGAAAGCAAAAATAAAACAATATCTTAATCTGAGTGAGACTTTAAATCTGAGATTTTGCATATGATTCTAATGCCCTGTTGTTTTCGAAATTGTTCAAAAGAAAATTAATACACCATAGTTTTCAAAGAACAAACGCACACACACTTCTTCAATTTCAACCAGTAAACAAGCAAACCCTTAGTATATTCCCGTTCTTCAAATTTTGGAGTACACTGACTGTAATATCCTAAAATATTCTGGGCTCTGATGATTCAATGTTGAATATATCTACTTACATTGAGTATGCAATGGTCTAGCTGATAAAAAGAGACAATAAATAAAGTAAAGCAGTAGATTATCATTTGCAGAGAATTATAAATGCTATGAAGGATAAAACAAAAATAGAAAGGAAATTAAAAATTATGATATAAAGGGTTGATTTGAAAATTACTTATGATAGAATTAGGGGAGAGCTCAGTCAAGACATGCAGATCTGGGGAGTTGAGAGACACAGATATTTTTTATTGAGAGATTTTTTTTCTCCCAAATCAATGCTAATGTATGTTTCTTTTAGAAATTTACTCCTTATTGGTCTCTGACTACTTGTAGCAGTGCAGAAAATCCAATATTCACATTTTCTTTACTCTCCACATTTATTCAACTCCCAAGCAACTCCTTATAATTAACCCACTACATTAAATGTCTCATTTCTTACAAGAAAAAGCTAGAAAGGGAAATAAAATGTATAAATGTGTACAATTAACCAGGCACTGTGCTGAAGTATCCTATACACTCTAGTTTCATATATATCTGAAAGTACTAAGACTTATTAACTTAACTCATTTCCACTGAGAAATTTGAAAGTGAGCAATAAAAATATTCAAGACAATATGAATGTGAATTAAAAAAATTATGTAAAAGCTCAGAAGTAATTTTTACCCACCCCAGATATATTTCCTTCTTGATACAGAAGCAAATGAACTTAATTATTGCTATCAAGTAAGTTATCTCATTCTTAAAGCAACCCAAAAACAAAAACGTCTGCCAAAATGTAACCAAGGATTCTGAATACAAACCTAGCAACATTCCTGCAGCCTAAGAAATATAATTTCTTTCTGAACTTCATATAAAGCAGCCTATATACATTCAAGAACAATTATTATTCAAGAACAATTATTCACATATTGAAAAACAATTATTTATTAAGTCTTTCAATAAAGTTTAATTAAATAGCTTAATTTAAGTGAGGATTCTAGATTATGTGTGGCTTTGCCATCTTTTGAAATGATATTGTTAATGATCACAAGTGTGAGTGGTTGGGTAATGTCATAATAAGCAAAAGACACACATTTGGGATTTTCTTTCTCAGCTGTTTGATGCTCATCATAATTATTGTCCTCTTTCCTCTTCTTTCATTATAAAGCAAATATTTCGATCTTTGAAAGCTCCCTAAATTTTAAGCTCATGTTTCAATATAATTTTACATGCATTAACTATGTAATAAATATTCTTACAAATAAAAAATATAAAATGAAAATTTCATAAAATATTCATAACAAGTGTGCTATTTTAATTTCCATTTCTATTCAATTTCATTTTCTATTTCTAAGAAGTTAAAAAACACGTCTGGGAGATTCTACAGATGATGAAAGACTCATAATGGTTCATATGGCTGTTATTTGTATCTTCTGAGTTTTATATGTTTGATTTGCTGGGTGTTATTGAGAACACCCCTTTTATGTACTTTTGTGGTTGGGTCAAATTGGAAATTCCTGCAAAGCAGTGATAAAAATGTTAATTGGTGCAGAGAGAGAATTGTGCTCTCTAAGTATCTAAAAAGTACTCCTAACATTTCATTGTTATTAAATAAGTTGTTCTACTCTTTACCAATTTTATCAAAACACTGAAAAAATAAATAGCCTCTTTTTAATTCAACCTGAAGCTGTCTTCTTGAGGAGGTGAGTTCTTTTTCTACCAATTCGTGTTGACACAGATATTAAATTTACTTGCAGAATATTACAAACGTGTCTGGATGTAATAATAATCTAATTTTTGTAACATCTAAATAAGCAATAAAGTCTGAAATACATGTTTTGATCTAACTGATTCATTGTAAATGGAATCCCATCTCAAAGATAATGGCACATATCCAATTTAGGGTTCTTACTGCTTCTCTCAGGCCTCAGCAATGCTTTTGTCTTCTTGTTCTGGCTTCCACTTTCATGAAGGGCCTTGAACCAGTCTCGAAGTCTGTTTGCCACTTCCCTGAACTCCAGGTCACTGCATGCTAAAAGTAAAGGGAAACATCATAAATCTTGAATAATAACTTAGCATCAAGTTCACAATACTTCCCAAATGATGTCAATGATTGAGAGTTAACAGTAACTAAAGAAAAATTAACATAATTATTGTTTCCACTTTTGTAAAACTAAATGTGTTCATGTGTTCCAAACATAACAAATCTAATATAATGATAGCATCTCATTTAATAAAATAATTAATAGGATTTTGCTTTCATTCTTCTTGGAATATAATACTTGGTTGCAGTCTTTTTTTAAAGATTTATCTATTTATGCTTACAAGGACTAGGATACAGGCCAGAGGTGCAGAGTTTAAGAAGATTCACCAGAGACAGAGTGGGGAGTAGAACAGGCAAATCTACTGAAATACACTGCTGAGGGGAGCAGCGGGCGGGTCAGGAGAGGTCTGCTCTACTATGTGGTCACTTTCATGGCGGAGAATCAAACTTGTGCTGTAGTGGCTGCCGATAGCTTCATAGTGCTGTACCTTTAAAACCCGTTGGGTCACTAAAGAGGGCGCCAAGTCCTTTTTAAATAAAATTCCATAGTATTGTAAAATTCTTCTATTGTGTATATTTGTGGGGCTTCACAAATTAGACTATTATAAATAAATTATGAAAATTCCTAAGCATGTCTTTGGTTGAAGACTCCTGTTGTTAATTTCATGTTAATTGAGTTAAAAGATTTGCATGCCAAAGTTTTTTACCATGGTAAGATGCTGGGTCACCTAGAGAAAGAAGGGATTGAAAATCCAAAACAAATGCTCACAAATATTAATACTGATACAATATTATATGCCATTATACACATGTATAGTAATACTTTATCATTGGTTATATCTATTATAGTATGCCATGATTTGAAATCTGCATCCATGTATGAATAGCATGTAAAAATAATTAGTAACCAATATGTGCTATAGTTTAATCTTATATGTGTGTTAAGCACAGATAATGAAAAGCAATTATATATGGCACTAGGAAAGATTGTAAAGTATGAGAAAATTATACCATATTTCTAATGTAAAAATAAAGTATTAGGAAACTTGGATATTTAGTCCTCAAATTAACTCATTTTTCCAATATTGTTATTAGCAATAATGCTATTTAAGACAGTCTACATAATAGAGTAGCAGGCTGTATCAATATTTATGTATGTCTAATGATGATATATGCATCTCTAACTACTATTTGCTAAAATATTTTGCAAATTATAATGTAGTGATTAATTGATACACTATTAGAGAATATTGTTAACTGTAGGCCTAAATCCTCTGCATATGACAAATATACAACTTCCTAAACTGACAAGGAGTTTTTATGAGTATGCTTTTTGTTTATTTTGTTAAAGATAAACACACAATGATATTTTAAATGTTATATATATTTACTTATTATGTTATAATATATATGAGAAACAACATAATAAATAGGGTATAATATAACTTAAGACTATTTCCAAGCACTAAAGGGAAAACAATTCCCTATTAAAAGGATACTTCTAGTACTAAGCTATGTGCATGATTTACACCAGAAAATCATTGTGACAAATCAGAACACTGGAGACCAAAAGGAATATCCTAAAAGCTGCAATGGGGGAAAATAACAAAACTGTCATAGATACAAACATTATTATATACCAAAAATAAGCAACCAAATGTCTTCAGATTATTTAATAGCAACATTGAGAAACAGAAAGAAATTTTTAAGTGAAAATCCTATATCCATAGTAGGTAGAAGAGGAACCTGAAGAGATGTTTACATACACCAGGTCTGAAAAATCAACCAATCACATCCTCTTTCTCCAGTAAACTCCTAGAAGATGTAATATACCAAAGAGTCAATCAAGAAAGTTGGTAATTGAGATACAGGAAATAAATCTCTTAAGAGAGAAGCACAAGGAATTTCTAGATAAACAGCTAAGAGACTCCCAGAATGTGTACTGTGTGCCAAGGTTTCAATAACTGGAAATAGTTTTGAAAATATTTGGCCATAACAGAGCAATGTGTTCAACTCATTGTTATCCTTCCACCCAGGTGAACAAATAGATACAAGGACAGCTAGAAAAAAAAATTGTTACTGATAAAATACATAACTATTGACATTAAGTGATGAAGCTAAATTAAGTATGCTCCTAATGCGATTATCTACACTTAAAGCTGTATTTTATAGTTACATGTCAGCATAGTTTTGGTGAAAAAATAAGAATCAATTGGAAAAGTATGTTTAGTATATTTAAACTTGTATACAATTGCTTACATAGGTTTAAAACAATTACTTTACATAGGTTACTTACATAGTAATTACTTACATAGGTTTAAAACATCTATGGTAGTAACCTAAAGACAGAGACATTCGTCACCTCTGCAATGGGAACTGGGCAGTGAGGATATGGTGGTTGGGGATATCAAATTTATGCATTTGTGGTATGAAAATAAAAGATGAAACTAATGCTTTGTTTATTAAACAAACATTTAGAAATGTATTTTAAAGGGAAGGTGTGTAAAATGGAAGAAAGTGGATAATGGAAGAGTGAGGGAGAGATTTGAGCTTCCAGTGGGTAAAGTTCAAATATACGATAAGATGCGATACAATACTAACTATAGTATGTATACATGTTGATTCTTAATCCTGAATAACTGAAACATAAAATGTTATAATACAATGTTACCTAGAAATCTTACTGTAGAAGGGAGAACAGGAGTGGAGAGAAAAGTGGGCAGAGGACTGAATGATCTGTGGTGGTGGACTATGGGTGCCTTCACGGTGGGGTGGTGTGAGGACACACATCTGAAGCTGTGTATTTGGTGCCTCTGAATCATACGGTGTTGTAAACAAATGTTACATAGATTAAAACAAAACAAAACAAAAAACACACATTTCCATTTTCAAAAGTGATGATTGCAATGATGTGAAATGATTCTCACTGAGAAGATCGATAATGGCAAACATTTCCAGAAAGTAACACAGAATCTGTAAAATATAGATTCTTGAACTTAAAGGAGTCACATTTTTTAAGTCCAAATTAAAAATTTGTATGGAAGTAACAGTGCCACACTATATTATGACATATTATTGTAGCCTGTGTTTCAGGGGTGCATCATTATAAATCAATATATAAAATATTATAATAAGTTCACCACTAAAATTCTCACACTTCTACTAAGTGGGTATTTTTCTCTGAAATAATATCTTGCCTCTACACAGCATGAAATTTTTCTAGTGAGATTTCACATTTGATGTTAATATCAAGTCTGAAAGATTAGGTAAAGGATTACTGTCTGTATTATAGTTATGGAATCTGGGGCATTGAAGGTAATTGACAGCCTTAAATATTAGAGCTGGTAGTGAACTAGGACAATGCTTAGTACTGATTGCTTTCATTGTGTTTGTAATTAGATAGTGAACAGCAAGATAATAAATTATAATGACATAATAAATATGATTTTAAATTAAATTTGAATAAAAGGCAGGATCCAATATAAATTTAACTATGTCAAGTTATTAATTAGAGCATAATTTTATATACAGCAAACTATTGTGGAAAAGAGATCTTAGAAAGTTAATAACATATATAATATAATATTTCTATTGTGTGCACATGCATATGTACACTTACATATTTGATAAGACCACTCATGTGATAGGGAAGCTAAAACATTATTGTAAAATGTACAATGTAAATGAGAGAAACTAGAGCCAAACGTGAGAAGGTATAGAGGACCAGATTAAGACTGCTACCTGAATTATAGAAGATATTAAGAGAGAAAGAAGAAATTCAAATGAATAAAATTATTATTTAAACTTTGAGAACAGTTGTCATAACAGCAGAAGGAGCTATGTTTACTGAGAGGCAGAAGGGTCACTGAGGTCTCAGATGAATGAACACATACAGAAATGACATCAACCCATCTTTAACATTTAGAAAAGGATATGAAAAAGATTATGGGCTTTTGGGAAAAAATGAGAATAATCACAAGTAGAAAAACAAGCAAAAGGTTAGCATCAAAGACAAAGAAATAGTCTTCGCATCACAATAATCATTAGCGATAATGGATTATAGAAGAACAGGAAAGGACCATTCAAATTTCTAAGGAAAATAGATTTAATCAACCACTCCATGTCTATTGAATTATCAAGCAAATAGAGCAGGGGAAAGGCATTTTTATATATGCAAGAATTCAGAGATTTTGTGCATTTACCTGCCTCCATCATAGTGCATGAGAGCAAGATGAAAGAGGAAATTTAAAATAGACACAAAATTCTAGAGTCACTCAAAGAAAGACTGAGAAACACAGTACCCACACTTTCTGTGACTAGATGAAGGTGAGCAAGTCCTCAGGCAGGGAAAATTCAGGCTGGAGGAAGGGAAGAGTTGACAGAATAGTGTCTGACTGACAGTTCGAAAAACTGAAGCAAGTCATAAGAACAGGAGTTAGGACATGGAATGACAGGCTGCATTAAAATTGCGGGCTATTCCTCACTGAGACAGGGAAAAAAACGGTGATTCTAGTTTAAGTTCTAACTCAGTGAACTATATTTACAACATTGTGATAGTGTAAATGTTTGTGATAGGCAGATCGACTCCTTTTACAAGAGTTCACAGAAGACTTAACATTAGTTATATAATATAATTTAAATGTTACCAACATTGATAACTACCACCACCAGATACCGGAAGTGGCATAAAGATCTTCATTTTCCACAATGAAGAGGAAAATGGGTCTGTGGAACCGGAAATTGGAAATGAGGTATTTTTGTTTTCTGGCTCGAATGCTTCAGCTTTTCAAATTGTAGATGTAGCCAGTGGAAAATGAAGAACAGTCATATAATTATTTTAGAAGGCGGGAGGGAATTGAAATGCATTCTCATTTATCAAAGCAGAAAATCTAAAGGTAATGTTTGAAGTTGATTAATAGCTATTTTACAAATGAGATAATCACCAGATGTGGAAAACCAGCAAGGCTTAAAAATGATTAGCTCTCTGA